TCATATTTATATATTTATATATATTCATATATATATACATATATATATATAATATATATATATATATTATATATATTATATAATATATATATATATTATATTATATATATATATATATATATATATATATATATATAATATATATATATATATATATTAATTAGATGGATAGATGAGGGGAGTTCATTAAAGATTCCCCTTGACCCTTTTCCCCTTATCATAGGAGGTTTAAATTTACATGTATAAAGGTACACATCTCTTTTTATTGATATCCTGTCATAACTATTTTCTGTTACAATGTTTCAGGTGCATTAAGGTGTGAAAATGGAACCAGTGGATTATCGAGCAATGATCAGGTGTTTATACCTGCATGGCCTCGCGCCACTAGAAGCCTTCGGTGAAATGGAAGCAACTGATGGGGAGGATGGAAGCCCCGTCATTATGCCGCTGTTAAACATTGGCATCACCTGTTCAGGGGTAGTCGGAGTTCTGTGGAAACGCCTCCCATTCGAGGGCTACTCCAGTCTGCCATTGGTGATGACACCATCTATCATGTGTCATTTTGGAAGATTGCCGTTTTACTATACGAGACGAGATTAGTGTGTCTGTGGACAAAAGTTGTCTACTCGATGGGTTCCCAGGCTACTCATACCCTTTCAGAAGCAGGAACGTCCATTTTTCCAAGGCTTTTTAGACATGTGGCAAGAAAACCAGGAGACTTTTTGACAGATTAATTACGCAGGATCGTATTTAGGTCCACCACTATAATTCAGAAATTAAGGCCCCGTCAAAACAATGGAAGTGCTTTGACTCACCTCCCCCGAAAAGGTCATCCTCTTTGTTTTTAGGGACTAGCATGGAGTAGTGTTGACGGATTTCCTGGGAAAAGGTACTACAATTGCAGAAGTTTACTACGCTATCAAAACCAAGAGGTGCAGAATGTTGACCAAAGGTGTCTGCTTCCTACAAGACAACGCTCCTATTCACAACTCTTACATTGTCCAGATGGAAGCGCGGTGCTGCGGCTACAACATCCTCCCTCATCCTCCTTATTTTCCTGACTTAACACCAAAAGCCTTTCATCTCTTTTCCTCCATGAAGTCATTTTTGAAGAACAAACTTTCCAAGATGATGAGCTACTGATTTCTGAAGGCATTTCCTGGCTTCAAATGCAACATATGGACTTATTCAACCGAGGAGCGCACAACTGCTTAAAAGAATGAAAGAAGCGTGTCGCACTTGGTAGGGCCTTTGTAGAGAAAAATTAATAACTATGAAAGTTTCATTCCTATACATCCTTGGGAAGTGGGTCAGGGGAAAGCAATCAGTGCTCCGTGTGTGTGTGTGTGTGTGTGTGTGTGTGTGTGTGTGTGTGTGTGTGTGTGTGTGTGTGTGTGTGTGTGTGTGTGTGTGTGTGTGTGTGTGTGTGTGTGTGCATAGTGTATGGCTGCACTCTTTTGGACTCTAAGGATTTATTCACCTTCATAAACTTTGGCCAACGCAACACGAGCCGCCAGAGACCAACCCCCGCCACGCCTCGTCCGCAGGCACATTTATATTTTTTTGCCACCTGCGAGCAAGTCCCGCAGACGTTTTTTATTGATCATTATTATTACTATTTTTACTAAGTCAAACCCACTTTTAAGAACGACAGAGTCCCTGCTGTTTGTTAATGTGAATCTGGTTATTTTTAAAACCACAGGTGCATTTTCAACCACGTCCCCCTACTTACAAGGCGTTGAAGTCGCCAAGCCAAAATAAATATTTGTTTATCTTTAAAATTAAATGCAAATATGTTATGGCCGAAATGTGCTGTTTTTGCTACAATTATGTGTTATTGGATTTTCTCTGTATCCTTTCCTTTATCTTTTTCTATCGTTCTCTCTCCTTGGCGACGTCTCCAGTGTCGTGATAACCACCGAAGGAGATGATGGTTGTTCTATAGTGTTTCTTTTTTGCTTTTCCTTCCCCTCTCTCTTCTTGGTTGCTTAGGCCGTTTGGATTGTCGAACTGTCGGCTTGGTCTTCAGGTACTTCATTTGCATATTTATTCTTCGCGTCATGCCCCGGACATGGCCTGGGGGTCTCTTTCGGGGTATAAGAAGCCATGTTTTGGGGAGGGAAATAACTTGAATTGTGACTTGATCTCTGACTCTGGTCTCGACTGTGGTTTGCACTTCGGTCCTGACCTCTATCCTGTATTTGGTCCTTCACGGTTGGATTTTTTTGTGTGTATGCTTGTATGTGTGTGCTCTCACTTGGATTTAACTCGCTTCACGCCAGGATTGCTGAGCGTCTCTTTCCCAAGTTGAATAATTTCTTTAGTTGTGTGCAGGAGACGACTGGTCTCTTTTGGACTTCTGCGTGTGACGCTGCATTGCCATCTGCAGGGTGCACTCTCTTTCACCACGTCCCGCAGCAGTACTCTTGATATCCAAGTGTTAAAGAGCATTAGAAGGACCAAGTGAACGAGAGGAACACTGCATGAGGATACATGAGTAGGTGAATGAAAGGGGACTTTGTTGGAGGGTTTATTGGGGGAGGAAAATCTAACCCCACAAGACACCAGGTGCCCCGTCGCCTGTCTACCGCCGCTGCATGTCTCCGTCTTCTCTCATTCTCCGTTGTTCTGCCTCGGCCTGCCTGACGAGACGTCCTTTCATGCAGCTATTCCTTGCGAGGGTGTTTTGCTTGCTTAGGAGAAAGTGTCAAAAGGGAAAGTGAGTGAACACCTGTGTCCACTGACGGAGGAAGGCAGCTGCTGGGCCAAGGTGCGAAAAGGGGGACCATCCAGCGTTGAGCATATGGTTGCCAACAATTGTTATTACTTAATTTTCTTTCATCCCTGCTTGAGGATCCTTACCTCCAGGGATAAAGATCTTTGTCGGAATCATTTTATTAGTCATTATTATATGTATATATATGTATATATATATATATATATATATATATATATATATATATATATATATATATATATATATATATATATATATATATATATTTTTTTATGTTGGTTTCATGTGCATCATTTCCACTGTGATAAACTGCATCATCTTCACTGTGATAAATTGATCATGCATACATCTTTTTTCTATTTTTCCATGACTGAAAATGCCTGTAACTCCCAAGTAAGTGCAACTTGCTCCTTGAATAAACATCGTACCATCGTAGAGCTTTTACTCAGTTCCAATCAGAAGTATAAATTATTCCTGTTTACCACCACTAAAGTTCTGGTTCTGACCAAGATTAGAAGCTTAAATCTTTCTCGGGTCTACTAAACAGCACATTGCTGGTTGCTCTGATATCTCGCAGCCCCTGAAAGGCTATAGAAAGGCTAGATAAAACAGATTATATTAAGCTCATATCAAAGAACAGATTATACCTATTGCTATACCTGGGTTCCTGCTTCCAGTTGGTGGATGTTCAAACCGAAGGGAAGAATGATAATTCTATGATATTGCATTTTTCTTTGAAGCACGTCCTCGCAGACGCTCAGCCTACGCTGTGTACTTTTTCACATTTATACATAAGTTCAACATTCAGCATACATGCTGTATTTTCCTTCCATCCTTCTCTGTTAAAACATTCACGCACACATACACAACACACACACGGTTCCCGAACCTACTAATCGGGCGGTGGCAGCGTGCCATAGGCCTGGAACCTTACACCTGTTCACTGCAGACGATTCTCTAAATACAGTTCCATATTCTCGTTTGAGCGCACGCTAAAGTCGACTGGGTCTACGCCCCGCAACAATGTGTGTTTGTGTGTGTGTGTGTGTGTGTGTGTGTGTGTGTGTGTGTGTTGTGTGTGTGTGTGTGTGTGTGTGTGTGTGTGTGTGTGTGTGTTGTGTGTGTGTGTGTGTGTTGTGTGTTGTGTGTTGTTTGTTTGTGTGTGTTTGTTTGTGTGTGTGTTTGTTGTGTGTGTGTGTGTGTTTGTGTGTGTGTGTGGTGTGTGTGTGCGTGTGTGTGTGTGTGTGTGTGTGTGTGTGTGTGTGTGTGTGTGTGTGTGTGTGTGTGTGTGTGTGTGTGTGTGTGTGTGTGTGTGTGTGTGTGTGTGTGTGTGTGTGTGCGTGTGCGTGTGTGCGTGTGTGTGTGTGTGTGTGTTTGTGTGTGTATGTGCGCGCGTGCGTGAGTAAAGCTCAAACACGCTAAGAAAATGGATAAAGTTCCCTTAGCATAAAGATTCAAGGAACAGCGCCGGTCTAACCTGGCTCCAACTGCTTCTTAGCAATGGTCCTTTTGCAGTGCTTGGATTGCGACTTCAAATATTTGACAAATCTCCCTTTTTAATGGATGATTGAGTCAAGCGAGCGCAGGAAAAGAAATTTCAAAATTATCAAAATATTGTTTGACTTTCGATTTCCAAAAGGTACTTGATTCATCAAGAGGCAGAAAGGCGTCCTGTCTCGAATTGGAAAAGTTATATGTAGCTCAGCCTCTCCACCTCTCCTCTCTCACTCTCTCTCTCTCCGTCTTCTCTCTCTCTCCTCCGTTCTCTCTCTCTCTCTCTCCTCTCTCTCTCCTCCGTCTCCTCTCTCTCTCTCTTCCTTCGTCTTCTCTCTCTTCTCTTCTCTCCTCTCTCTCTGACTTCTCTCTCTCTCTCTCTCTCTTCTCTCTTCTCTCCTCTCTCTTCTTCTCTCTTTTCGTCTCGCTCTAGTCTCGTCTCCGTCTCTCTTCTCTCGGTGTTCCGTCTTCTTCTCTTCGGCTCTCTCCTCGTCTCCTTCCGTATCCTCGCCTCTCCTTCCCCTTCTCATCTCTCTGTCCTCTCCTCTCTCTCTGGTCTTCATTCGCGTCTCATCTCTCTCTAATACTCCTCTCTCTGCTCTCTTCTCTCTCTCTCTCCCTCCTCCTCCCTCTCC